CTGAATAGCAGCTCTGAGAAAAAACTTATTGTGGACTGTAGATGATTCATGTGTTTGCAGATCTTGCAAGTCATGTCTGGAAAACTATTTATGTATATTTTTATGCCAGCCTGATTCAAATGCAGGATATGGCATGTATAATAATGTTACTGAACCTTCTAAAAAGCTATTTCCAAGTTCACACTTTGAACTGAAATTATCCAAAAAAAAAAAAAACCCAGCAGCAACAAAACAGAAACAAACCTCCCCCAAACCAGGATTCTGGTTGGTTGACATCAGTCAGCACCAATACATTTTTGGATTCCAGTTAAACCTCTATTGTCTGTGGGGGGAGTGTTTTGGTTTTGGTGTTTTTTTTTGTTTGTTTGTTTCATTTTTTGCTTATTGTATGAGGATGGTACTGGTGACAGGATTTCAAAAGTTGTGTGGGAATGTGGGAGACTTGACGGTGACTTGGGTAGCTTTCTATTCTCAACAAAGTGTAACGCACTTTAAACTTATTTCACCAAGTTTTCTGGTAAAAAGAGACAGGTAACACGAACTTTGTAAGATCTGCAGATTTGGGTTCTTTTTGCTGACTGTGACGGAATGTCAGCATGCCAGCAGGTGGACTGTCTGCCTCTTTTTGCATGATGCTAGGATAAGCTGTGATGACAAGACTTAAGTACACTGGCCTGCTAGTCACAACATGAAGACCTTTTGGTTTCTCCTTATTTTTCTTGATTGTTGACTGTGTATGCTAAGTGAAACCATTGAAATGTTCCCGTAATTCATGCCTTCACCACTGAACAATGTGCAACTCAAGTCAGGAATTTACGGTTGGATATCTTAAAAAGTTCCTCTGGCATTTTTTCTGCGGCTGTAAAACTGTCATAAGCAGGCTCACAGCGAACAGGGGTACCTTATAGCTCCGCAGTGCGACAGCAACATTGTTCGTTTCTGTTCTGTCCTGTCCTGTGTAGCTGTCTGTGGGACATATAGCTAACTGAGTAAGAGAGCACATCAGTGTGTTTAAAGGAAAACCTTGCACACAGGGGGATGGGCAAAGCTGGTATTATTGGCTGAAGTCAGTTTACTGGTCTGGTTTGCAGCAGCACATCTCTGCTGAGGGAACTGAAACCCTTCTCCTGTGATGGGCATGAAACAGGGACCAAACTCCAATCTGTGTAGTTGAGGAATTGGCTTGGTAGCTTTTCTTTTTTAAGAGATGACGTGTGGTTAGCTCTTCTGTAGTTATGTGGTGTTAGCGATAGTATTTGGTGCAGCTTCAAAGATGTTACAGAAACTTTGGTAGAACTGCTAGCTTTCACGGAATTTGTAAGCAAGACTCTTTTTTCAGGTGGCTAAGTAACAACCCAGATCTGCCACATGCTCACCTTTACTACCAAAACAGCTTTCCTGGTGTTGTTTATGGTCTTCTAAATGCTACACAGTTTAAAAGTACTGCAGAGGGCAAGAGCCTTTAGCACTTCTTAAACATGCAGACTACACTGTTATGAAGTGCAAGATGACTTTCCAGTTTTTTTGTATGCAGTTTGATCACCGGCTGAAACTAAATGCTTGGAAAGAAGGAGCAGCTGCAGCAGACAGGTAGGAATGTTATACACATTTTAAGGAAAGATGACTTGTTATTTAGCATGTCAACTGCATAAATCTTGCAAGGAATATGACCTGTCACCTCTTGGCTTTGCTTTGCTGTTCTAGTAGTGAAGCAGCACAGCAGCTCTCTTTAAAGCAGAGTTCACAGTCTCTGCGTTCAAAAGAGTTTTGTAAGAACCAGTGAGGCATTAAAAACTACTTAAGCCGGGAATCCCTTTTCTTGTGCTCCTGTTACGAGAAAACAGGACAAAAGCAGCATGATGTGGGTGCACGGAGTGGGTTATTTACCTGCTCTGGTGCCGTAGAATGGGTTTCTGTAGGACAGGAATCAGCAGTCTGGATTGCAGGACAGCACAGTCCACTCTAACAATCTTGCCTTCTCTGAAGAGATAAAAACGTAGGTCTTTGATAGTAGCCCTTGGCAAATGCAGCCTTGTGAGACATGAATTTGGACTAGGTACAGCAGCCTGAAGCCTCCTGAGTATTCCCTAATAGCTGTGATTCCTTGTAACAGGAGTAGCCCATGTGAAAGGTGGCTGGATCTAGCCTAGGGAAGAGGCAAATTAACTGTGTCCTGCTCCAAGGTCTGCCCCTTTGTGTGGATTCCCTTTCTCGCTCTAAGGTCTGCCCTTTTGCGTGAATTCCCTTTCTAGCCAACAGTTACTTTTCCTCGGCATGTTGTGACCCCTTTAATCATATCTGGGGTGAATGTGGAAGAACCTGGGTAGCCTGAAAAGCTGAGACATCTAGGAGTGGCGCATTGGTGGACAGTGGATGGCATCTACTTCCTTCTTCTGTCCTGTGTTTGCCAGTCAGTTTGCCAGTCAGCGAAGGATCCATTTGGAATCCAGTGGAACAAGTTTAGCCATTTGCCTTGGAAGTGCACTTAACCCAACATGTGGGAAGGGCACTGCATGCAGACCTCACGCTAGGATCTCCTGTACTTGGCTGTGGCCTTTGGACCAAGGAAAACAAACAGCTGACTGAAACCAATTCGCTGGGCAATGGCAGAAAGGTTCTTGGGGAAGACCCACAACACTTACCTGGAGCACTGGCAAGTCCCAGTGAGCAGGGAGGCGCTGTGATTATCATATGGAGAGGCCTAGTCATGATTAGCAAAACCCCATTGCAGCACCTATAAGACATATCCTTGGTGAACAGGCTCATGAATAGGCTAGCCAGGTAAGGGGGGCTAGCCTGTACTTTGTGAAGTTGACATGAGGGGGCACGACAGCAATGTATTCATACCCAGTGACAGGCCCTACAAATGTCTGGTTTACTCTGTGTATCATGACTGGACAACTCTTGGGCTCAGAACCTCGTAGTTAATCAAAGCACTTTGTTGCAGTGACAAAGTCTGCACAGGTTACCTGAATAACTGGAGCATGTTCTGTCTAGTTCACTGTTGGCATCACTGAGAAAGCGTAGTTCAAAAGTTGCCTGTCATGTCAAAAGTGTTTGTCATATCAGTGTTTTTTTTTTTTGCAGCCCAGAGGATGCTTGCATGCTCTGGAGATGTGGCTTCAGATGGGTGGCCAGCTAGCTGCTTGGATTTGTCTTTGAAGCTGCCTTTGGTAGGGACATGTTCTGGCACCAGGCTCGTGAGGGGGCAATAGGTCTGTGCAGTGATGCTTGCTGGCAGGTCCTACTCAGGAGTCAGCTTCTCCTAGCATTAGTGCTGCAAAATGCACATTCCCTCAATTGTGATGTGCTGTGAGGCCGCCGGCTGCTTCTTAACCACGGACAAACACAAACCTAATGGAGATAGGCTTGCAATATGAGCTTGTTAAGGCAAAGGTCACTTATGGGATGAGGGTGTGAAAACTTGCATAGTGGGACCTCCTTTTCTGCCTGGGATCTCTGCAAACAGTAGAAATAGTCTTCCATAATGGGACTGTGAAAATGAGTTTAGATATTTACAGTAGGCATGTTACATTAGAACTAATGAACGTTTGAGGCTTTCAAGCCTTTTTGAGTGAAGGCTTCTTTTTTGAAGAAGTGGAAAAGCTTGAGACTTCTCAGAAGTGGGGAATTTGCAGGTGTCAGCAAGTATAGAAGAAATCCAATGATAGCATTTGTCAGCTGCTTTATCTAGGCTGAGAATTTGAAAATTTTAATGTAAATGGAAATGCTAACAGTTACCTGGGAAGCTTTCTGGCAGTTCAGAGCTGTAGAGCTACCTTTTATTAGGAAATAAAGATATACAGCTCCAGGAAGGGAAGCAGATTGTTATTTCTGCCTGAATAGGTTTGGAAAAGAGAGCTTGGGGTTGGTGGGGTGTTGTGAGTGGAGGGGTTTGATCAATCTGACAAATGTGTTAGGTGACCTGTTTGGAAACACAGTATGATGAGCAGTACAGAATTTCATAGTGATTGTGATATTATTATGCATCTGGAGGGGAGGAGTTTGTACCCAATGTCTGAGCGAAGGGAGACTTTCGTTCCAGGGAATAGCATAGCTAGAAGATTTCCAGACTTTAACCTGCTACAGATTCAAAGACTAAGAATCTGTCCAAAGAATATGGATCTTCTAGTAGGTTTCTGTCCTTCTACAAATCATTTAGTTCTGCTGTTAGAAAGCAGTGTTTGTTTTGTTAGACGACTACTGAACAGCGAGTTAGTCATTTTAGTCCTTTTGTTAGGTATCGTGACCTCTTATGTTACCATTAAGTTTAAGGCAAATCAGTCTTTGATTTATCCTGTTTGGTAGCATTTTGTATGTATAATTTCTCTCCTAGTGTATTTTTGGCAAATGGAGAAGAACAAATATCAAATAACTATACACGTTGGGCCGTTTTCTCTTTCATGTTTTAGTACAGTTGTGCTAAAGACTGACAACTGTTAGGTGTAACCATCTGTAGTAGGAGAGCGGCAGGGAGCTTATGATACCGTCCATCAATTCTTGACAGGGCTGCATCAGAAAACTAAACCAATAGCAGTTCAGCTACAGGGCTTTTGGAGATAAACCTGTTCTTGTGACTAGGAGAAATTGGTGTTGCATGATGCACTTTGTTGTCTTTGTGTTAAGTGTGTACAGCCACTGATACTTCTCTGACAGTATGGTTGATTGCTACTTGGGTATGTGTTGCCAGAGACAGAGGGAGGGAGCGATTTTCCTTTGATTTAGCTGTTATTCACAATAATGAGACAATCATTTCAATTGTTATGTGAAAGAAAGGATTATTTTTTGTCCCTCTATTGTCCTCATCAGTCTGATGGTTTCCTGTTGAAGGGAAGCTTTTAAGCACTTTAAATTATGAGTGGAGGAAAACACCCTTGATCTATAATTAAAACATCATCCCAAGATAGTGTGGGATTACAGTTGTTAACCTGTGACCGTAGGACAATGAAGGCTTGCTCTGACATCTTAGGTCTGTATGTTCTGTGAAGACAAATGCAACTTCCTGGGGCTCCTCCCAACCTGAATTTTTCTGTGATTCCGTGCGCATCGTGATTTGAAGAAATGGGACAGAAGTTTCCTTCTGCTTTCTCTTCTTCAGGCTCTTTGGTTGCCTGTGGTGCTCTTCGGCCTGTTCTGTATTGCATCTCTGCATCTCTAGAAACCAAGATTATCTCAGCCTGTTCAGTCATATGATGATTTTTCATGGGGCAATGGAAGGTGGTAATGCAGGGTAAGAGGTGAGCTTTTCTGTTCTTCAGTATTTCTGGTCTCCTAATGGAGGAAGGGAACTTATTCTTCTGAGATCATTTATTCACTACCTTTTATTGTCTAGTTTCACTAAACACAGGTAAGTGCAATGCTCCTTCAAGGGAAAGGATAGCACAGGCTGATCCAAGAAAATAAGCTTTAAGCAAAATCTTGTTTTGTGGCTTGTTGCTTTCCAAGAAAGAATTAAAATTATACATTTTTTTTTTTATTGATGCAGTGAAAGGAACAGCCTATGAGTATCTCATTGGAGAATTTTACCATTATTTTCTGTTGTAGCTTATCTAAAAAGGTAGAGACAATTTGCAAATGAAAGCATGCTTTTTTTGCCAAAGACAGACAAACAAAGACAAACTACCCAGGATGGAATATGCTGAGTAATTAGATCTTTGTCATTTGCCAGTCACAAGTATTGCATATTTTGTGCTACTCGGAAAACTTTCTGAAATAAAGACTGCCTTTGTGAAGTCTCTGGTTTGATGAACAGGAGCAAGCATACTTTTATTTCAGCACCAGTAAGTAGCTGATGTATGGCAGCTGTGAGTTTGTCTGAACCCAGATTGCACTTTGAAGATGGGATAGGATGCAGCTATGTGAAACTTTGGATTGTTTGTTTCTTTGTTTGTTTTTGGTGTGTGGCTTCCTTCTGGTTCACAGATCTCAGTGGCAGTTCCAGTAACAATTACTTTCCTGTCTTTCAGGTCTTGATACCAGATGACTACTCAGATCCGTTTGATGCCAAAAGTGAGTTGAACAAAATGGGGAAAGGGGAGAACACTGGCTATATGGAACCCTATGAAGCCCAGAGAATAATGACTGGTAAGAGAAGAGAATTGCGCATGTGCGTATGTGAAGTTTAATTGCATGGCAGTTCCCATGCAAATTACAACAAGGACAGAAATGTCCTTGGGCGGGTGGACCTGTGTTTTTGAAGATGCTCAGTCAGTAGTAAATGCCATGTAGGACTGTGTCTGCCTTGGCACCTAAATAGTCCTCTGGATCTAGCAGTTGAGTATAGATGGCTTGGACTGTGCTGGAGGAAGATGACAGTGAGAGCTGGAGTGTGCATGGCCCTGCTTGGCAGTGGGAAGGCTGTCACCTGTGTACATAGCAGGGATGGCTGAAGCGTAACACTGTACTGGTTCACTTTAAAGCAATTAGTCTGTTTGCTTGTGACCTTATTTCTCCATCTAATTTCAGCTTCTTAGTCCTCCCTGTAGTGGAGGAGGGCTGCAAAGCTACGTCATCATGTTGCTTTCTTCCTTGATTCTCTGGTGCTCTGTTCTTCTGTATCTGTGGACAAAACAGGACCTTTTTGGATGCCTTTAAGCCTTTAACTGCTATTCTTTGTAGCCTGCTTCCTTTGTTGTCATGTAGGGAGGTGGCTTATGGCAGTAGTGTTCTAAGAATTTGGACTGCTGAACACCCCTTGTCCTCTCATTATATGAGATGTATAATGTAATTATTATCCATGCTTTTTCCTCATATGATCTGCATCCATTTCCTACACATTAGCTTTGCAGTCCGCAAGCTTTTCTGGGGGCCTGGGGCCATATCTTCTGTGCATTTACAAATATTTGACTCAGGCGGCGCATACCTTTGTGCAGGATAAGTGGTGCATTTCTCAGATGTACAGTAGGTCCTTTTATTCTCACTATGTGCTGAAGATCACAATTAGTCCTTCTGTTGTGCCCAGTTAAGTTGTTTGTATGCTTCTCTTTCTCTCTCAGGGACTCCTGCTTTGGCCCCTCAGGAAAGAGTAATCAGTGGGTGAAGATAAGGCAGTCCAAGGCAGGTGTTCCTACTTTTCTTTTTTTAAAGACCAAGTCTGAAGAAAGGCATAGGAAATGACCTGTAGACTACCTTGTTTGGAAGCTTTCAGTATCTTATAGAGGGATTGGGGGCGCTAATTTCTTGTTGGTGTAAATCTCATCTTGGCTGAGGAATCTTTTGAGTAATGTGTTGGTTTGAATGGATTCTCGCTACTTACACAGCTATGATGAAAGCATTTTTTTCCGCAGGAGAAATGTATAGTGAGCACTTGTAATTTTAGCTTTGAAGTTGACGGTGCCTTGATTTCCTTCTCCCTGTATTTAGGTCAAGAGCTTATTCTATCTCCTTTTCTGAAGGTAGCCATAATAAATAGGAGGATAAATAGGAGGTGGACAATACTGGGTGGATTAGCAGTTAATTTGTGTAGCCTTGCAATGACAAAACACTTGTCTACAACCCTCTTGGTCAAATTGTTTGGTGTAGCTAAAGTGCTGGCAAATCTGCTATGCACATAAATAAAAGCAGAAATATATATTATAAAGCGGATGTGAGGAGCTCTCAGATGATAAAAGTAACTTCAACACTGAGATTTAATTGAATATATTGATACAGCAAGTATGTTGAGTATGCCTTTGAGCTGGTAGAAGATGCTTGATAATCCCTGAAGATGCTTAGTGCTCTGACATCTGGGCATTTGGTTTCCTATCATCTTGCCCTCATGCTGATGAAAATAGAGAAAGTCTTCTGATGAACCTCAGTGCGATTAAGTTCTGTTCGCTCCCCTTAGTACTTTATTTGACAAATTAGAAACTATCCAAAAAGATGCCTTTTGTGTTGTCTCCCCACCCCAAGATTATCTGGTTTGCAATTCCCATGTGAATTCTGTTATCTAACTTCTGCAGAGTAGCCTTTCTAAAGGAAGCATTTGGACTTAGTTTGCCTTGGTCTCGAAATGTTTGCTGCTTTGCTTGTGATGTTTGTTTGCTGTGCTGTCTGATGGGCAAAAGTGTGTTATCCGGCTGTCCATTTAACCTCAGCTCATCTGGTGAAGTTCTTTTGTATTAGGACTGTATTTAGGATGGGTTAATCCCAGACTGGAATCTGCTTTCAACAGCAAAATACACTTTGGAGGAGAAAAAGAAAACAAAATGTTGGGGGGGGGGGGGGGGGGCGTGTCACTTCTTTCAGAGCTAATCTCCATACTTTATTACAATTTCAATCTTTTTGTTTAAAAGCTGTAGAGACAGTATTAAAAATGCAGAGCACAGATATGGGGGGTACAAGCCTCTCTTGTAGATTGATAGTGAGGAATGTGCCGCATTTAAGACTTGCTACCCTTTCTTTCTAAGCAAGTTTTAAGGTATCTTGTTATAATCAACGATGTATAATCATTACAAAAAGCAAAGAGGTGTGCTTCTGCAGGAACTTAGGTATCAGCTCACACACTTTATCGGCACGGATTCAGCAAAGGGCCGTCATGCTTGACCAATCGGATAGCCTTCTCGGATGGAATGACTGGCTGGGTAGATGAGGGCAGAGCAGTGGACGTTGTCTGCGTGGGCTGCAGCAAGGCTTTGGCCACTGTCTCCCATCACATCCTCCTCGTAGGTAAGCTCAGGGAGCGTGGGTTGGATGAGTGGCCGGTGAGGTGGATTGAGAGCCGGCTGGATGGAGGGTTGTGGTCAGTGTTGCAGAGTCTAGCAGGAGGCTTGTAGCTAGCGGTGTCCGCCAGGAGTCAGTCCTGGGTCCAGTCTTGCTTGATGTATTGCTCGATGGCCTGGAGGAAGGCACAGAGTGCACCCTCAGCAAGTGTGCTGATGCAACTAAACTGGGGGGAGTGGCTGACACAGCAGAAGACTGTGCGGCCATTTGGAGGGACCTGGGCGGAGGGGAGCGTCCTGAAGTTCCACAAAGG